AATAGGAACACTTTTGCACTGTTGGTGGGAGTGTAAATTAGTTCAACCATTGTGGAAGACAGTGTGGCGATTCCTCAAGGACCTAGAAATAGAAATTCCATTTGATCTGGCAGCACTTTTTAAGCTACCAGGCCTAAGTATGATGTAACTCTCACTTATTTTTGCTTTGTTCCATAGCTGGTTATTGTCCTGAAGAAGGAAGTGATAAAAACAAATAATGTGTCTGAGCATGAAGATACTGACAAATACAGACAACTCCTGGTGCGAACATTACATTCCTGTTCTGTCCGATTTCCAGATATGGCTGCAAATGTTATTCCTGTGGTATGTAATTCTGATGACTTTAATTTTGAAATTCTCTAAAAGAATTTTTTTTTAAAAATCTAGTTATTTGATAGTCAAGCTCCAGAAATCTCAACTGTCTGGAACCATTAAATCTCATGGTCAGAAGTGATCTTTATGTCTGCCTCTACCTTTAAGCTTAGAACGATGAGGACTCTGACTTCTTTCATTTACGTATTCATCAAAAAAACAAAAAGTGACTAAAGAAATAGCTTTGCATATTATTTTAATTGATGTTATAGTTACCTAAAGTAAAATTATACTGTGTATATATTTTTCAGTAAGGCAAATAGATATTTATTTTAAATAGCTTTAGCCCTTAAAAGAATCAGTTATAGGAAAAATTCATGTACCTAGAAATATTTTGCTTTCTGTCACTATCAGATAAGTGAGGTATGTTATTATAATTTGATTTTTGCCTTTGAGCTCTGAGTGTTCTCTAAAATGATTTTATTTTAGTTACAATTTAGGAGGATCTAATTTATTTATTTTGAGTTTTTAGTCTCTAGCCTATCTTTTATAGTGAATTTTATAATTTTGTTGCACATAGAACAGGAAAGTCATGGTGTCTTTATTTACATAATAGTACTAGTCTCTCAATTTACATTTTGTTGTGTATTTGAAAATTATTAAGAATTTCAAGGGCCTGGCATGGTGGTTTATGTCTATAATTCAAGCCCTTTGGGAGGGCTAGGCAAGAGAATTACTTGAGACCAGGAGTCCAAGACCAGCTAGGACAACATAGGGAGACCCTGCCTCTACAAAAAAAATAAAAAATATTAGCTAAGCATAGTGTCATGCCTGAAATCCTAGCTACTGGGGAGGCTGAGGCTGCTGGAGGACCACTTGGGTCCAGGAGTTCTAGGCTGCAGTGAGCTATGATTGTGCCACTGTACTCCAGCCTGGGTCTCTTAGAAAAAAAAAGAATTATATTCTTTATTAATTTATTTCTTGTCCTAGATAAGTTTCTTTTGGAAAATTGTTCGTTCCATTTTCTCTTTTTTTTTCTCTTTTAGTTAATGGAATTTCTCAGTGACAATAATGAAGCAGCAGCTGCTGATGTCTTGGAGTTTGTTCGTGAAGCCATTCAGCGTTTTGATAACCTGAGAATGCTTATTGTTGAGAAGATGCTTGAAGTCTTTCATGCTATTAAATCTGTCAAGTAGGTTTAAAATACATTTAAATGTAAGGTCAAGTAAGCATTTTATCAGTTTTTATCTTTAAGGGGTCAGTTGATAGAAAATAGAATGGAGGGAATGATCAAGCCAAAATGTGACAAGTGTAACAACAAACATCATACTACCGCCACTCTCAGTTAATCTATAATTTATGGCCTAAAATAAGTTTTTTAGGAGTGATTTAGCTCAGTGTCTCCATTTTTTATTATCTCTAAAACATTGTGAATCTTAAAGTAACTAAAGAACATATTTTTAAATGACATCACTTTTTGGATATTACTATTATTTACATTTTCCTTTCACATTTAATGAAGAGAAAGATTGAAAATGCAACCTAAATCTATTCCTTCAGAGAGCCTTTGCTAATGAGAAAGGATTGTTGCATCTAAATTTTGCTTCATTTAAAGCATCTGATGGATAGTCTATAACAGACTTGAAGTATGTCTACTTAGATAGGAAGGAAAGGACAAGTACAAGATTGTTTTTATGATATGAAAATATATTTGTGGAAGTGAGCAGGATTTGCTTTATTTGTGAGAAAAAAAAATTAATGATTTTTTTTTTTTTTTTTTTTTTTAGTAGCTTTCTGGTATTTGCCGGAACAAACTCTAAAAGAGTTTGTAAACAGTTTTGCTAAACAAACTCTAAAAGAGCTGTAACACTAAGGATCTGCTTTTGACAGCCATAATCTCTTAGAGCTTTGGTTTCTATGATTAATTTTTTTTGAATAAATTTAATTAAAATCTTAGGGGAAAGATGACTTTATTTGGTTTAACATTTTAAACTAAAGAATTGTTGGCTGGATATGGTGCTCACACCTGTATTTCCAGCACTTTGGGAGGCCAAGATAGGAGGATTGTTGGATGTCAGGAGTTGGAGACCAGCCTGGGCAACATGGTGAGACTTTGTCTCTCTATATATTTTAATCTAAATGAATGAATGGTTGCTTTCTTTACTATTATTTTTTAACTGATCCCTTGTACTTGTTTTGTATTCATTGTTTTATTCATTGAAGAGACACCTTGCCTCGTCTTTTCAGTGACTGAAAATAAAAAGTGAATTACTTTACTTTAAAATAATATATTCTGGGTTTGTTTGCTTTTTTACTTTATTTGATTTATTTTTTTTTAGAGAGATGGTGTCTTTCTATGTTGCCCAGGCTGGTCTCAACTCCTGCACTCAAGCAATCCTCCCACCTCAGCCGCCCCAAGTGGTGGGATTACAGGCGTGGGCCACCTTGCCTGACCATAAAATAATATATTTCTTATAGTAGTAAGTGATAAAGCCAAATTTATCTTCACTGTGTCCTAAATGATCACTTTTCTGGGAAACATTCTGGTATTTTATTTTTACTGCTAGGTTTACCAGTTTTAGAATGTTTCTAATAATAATTAATAAGAACAGTTATTTTACTTTTAATCTTTATGATTTCTGGAGAGAACTGAAACCTAGTTTTTGTTAGATTCTTTTAGAAATGTTACCTAAAATACTTTAGAACTGCAGAATCTTGTTGTTTTTTGTTTTTTGTTACTGGAACAGATGCTTGCTCAGTCGCCCAGGCTGGAGTACAGTGGTGCAATCTCAACTATTGCAACCTCTGCCTCCTGGGTTCAAGCAGTTCTTTTTTTTTTTGGAGAGAGAGTCTTGCTGTGTCTCCCAGTGCCCAGGATAGAGTGCAGTGGCACGATCTCGGCTCACTGCAACCTCCGCCTCTCAGATTCAAGCTATACTCCAGCCTCGGCCTTCCAAGTAGCTGAGACTACAGGTGCGTGCCACTGTGTCCAGCTAATTTTTTTGTATTTTTAGTAGAGACCGAGTTTCACCATGTTGGCCAGACTGGTCTGAAACTCCTGACCTCAGGTAATCTGCCCACCTCAGCCTCCCAAAGTGCTGGGATTATAAGCATGAACCACCACAGCTGGCTGATTTTTGTATTTTTAGTAGAGACGGGGTTTCACCATGTTGGCCAGGCTGGTCTGGAACTCCTGACCTCAGGTAATCTGCCCACCTCAGCCTCCCAAAGTGCTGGGATTATAAGCATGAACCACCACAGCTGGCTGATTTTTGTATTTTTAGTAGAGACGGGGTTTCACCATGTTGACCAGGATGGTCTTGATCTCTTGACCTCGTGATCCACCCACCTCGGCCTCCCAAAGTGCTGGGATTACAGGCTTGAGCCACCGCGCCTGGCGATTTTTGTATTTTTAATAGAGATGGGGTTTCACCATGTTGTCCAAACTGATCTTGAGCTCCAGGGCTCAAGTGGTCCCCTGGCCTCAGCCTCCCAATGTGCTGGGAGTACAGGCATGAGCCACCACGCCTGGCCTTTGTTTTTTATTTGAGCTTAAATTCACAAAGAAAGATCTCTGCTTCAAGATTGGTTTGCCAAGTTCATATTTCAGCTCTTCTGCTGTCCTAGAATTTACCGAGGAGCATTATGGATCCTGGGAGAATACTGTAGTACCAAGGAAGACATTCAGAGTGTGATGACTGAGATCCGCAGGTCCCTTGGAGAGGTATGTTTTGCTTTAGTAAATGCTACTTTATATATTAGTTTTTACTTGAGAAAATCTGACTTTTTTGTGGTGATTTGCTTGTTTTTATTTACATTATTTACACTTCTGGATTTTGTTTGAACAAAATGTTCTGTGTTTATTAAAAAAAAAAAAAGCAGCAGCTTGTAAAATTCTGCTTTAGCCTGTATTCTGGAGAAAGAATGCCTTAGAGTAAGTCTGACTTTAGAATATTTGTGTACTAAAACTGACAGTATTCTTCATCCTAACAACCTTGTGGTAGAATAGAAAGAACAGTGGACTAATTGTCAGGAGACTTGGGTTCTAGTCATTGTTCTGTCGACAGTTCCTCAACCTAACTGGACATCAGTTTTTTCACCTATAAAACAAAGAAATTAAAATAGGTAATGCTTAAACACTCTTAGTGCTCTTACATTAGATGATGGGCTGGTATTGAGTAATAAATACATGATAGCCATTCAGTTAATTTAAAAGATAGTTAATGAAGTTACTATGTACAAATAAGAAGGATTTTATTTTAGAAGGATGAGTACTGTTTTGGTTAAAATTTCAAGGAAGGGAATGAAGAAGAGGAATATGGCTTAGTGAGCCTCTACTTTGTGTTAGACACTGTCAAATGCATTTTTCTGTTAGGTAAAATGTGTGGAAAGAATTAAGATTTCCACTCAACAGATTAAGAAACTGAGGTCTAAAGTAGGAAGTGGCACGGAGAGAATTCAAACCCTGGAATGTCTAACTCTAAAGCCCCTATTCTACCTACTACATTCTCCTGGGAAGGAAAGAAATTGAAAGCAAAGTTCGCAGTACCAAAAGTCACATTAGGGTAATGCATTTTTTAGAGAAATGATTGAATATTTAAATATAATTTTGTTTGCTGTTGATACTATTACTAAAATGATATTTCCAATTGACTTTTAGATCCCAATTGTAGAGTCAGAAATAAAGAAAGAAGCTGGCGAATTAAAACCTGAAGAAGAGATAACTGTGGGGCCAGTTCAGAAATTGGTTACTGAAATGGGTACCTATGCAACTCAGAGTGCCCTTAGCAGTTCTAGACCCACCAAGAAAGAGGAAGACAGGTAATTTAGGCACATATACCCTGCCAGCTACGCTACTTTTATTATTACTCTTGTATGTAAAACAGTCAAATGATTTCTTTCCTCTTTTTTTTGCAACCAAAATGAAAATCTTTACAGTTAAGTTACTTGAGAAGAGGAAGATGTTTGAGTTCTTCCCCCTAGGAACTGTACTGATGGTTTTAATCCTCTATCCCTTTCAGTATTTTTATGGAAATAACTGTTCTGTTTAAACTCAAATTATTTTTACTCAGAAAATGCTAAGTGGGTGAAACTGATGATATTTGGGTTTTATTGTTAGCATCTGAAAATATTTTCAAAATTTTTCAGTTTCTAAATGATGGAATAAAATTTTGCATTTTTCTGTTAAGTAAATTTTAATGGTGAAAATGGTGAAATTTCTGTCTAAAATGTTGAATACCCACTGTGTGCTAGGCATTGTGCAAAGTAGTTTGTCTCATATAGTTTTGATAATAGGCCTTTGAGATAGAATATATTACCTCCATTTTACGGAAGAGGAATTTCAGACTTACCGAATAAATAAATAGGTAAGCTGGAATTTGGATGTACTTCATTAGCTGCAATTACATATGCTCTTAATTAAATATTTTCTCTTTCCATATTCTTTTGGCTCTTGTGTCATTTGAAGGTAAGTTTTTTTGGTTTTTTTTTGAGACAGAGTTTTGCTCTGTTGGCCAGGCTGGAGTTCAGTGGTGCGATCTTGGCTTACTGCACCCTCTCTCTCCTGGCCTCAAGCAATTCTCCTGCCTCAGCTTCCTGAGTAGCTGGGATTACAGGCATGTGCCAACATGCCCAGTTAATTTTTGTATTTTTAGTAAAGACAGTATTTTAATTTCACCGTGTTGGCCAGGCTGGTATCGAACTCCTGATCTCAGGTAATCCGTGCGCCTCAGCCTCCCAAAGTGCTGGGATTATAGGCGTGAGCCACCACATCTGGCCAAAGATACATTTTAAAGTCATGTATTATTTTTCCTTTTCCATTTTCCTCCTGGGAGCTAAGGAGTTAGTTAACTGAGGTATCCTTATCACTGAGGGATAGTAGTAAGAGTGTTTAATTGGAGTATGTAAAACATTTATACAAAAGCTATATGCTGCTTAACAAGTTGGTGGGTTTGATTTTCCTTGATTGCTTTGCAGACCTCCCTTGAGAGGATTCCTTCTGGATGGAGATTTCTTTGTTGCTGCCTCCCTTGCCACAACTCTGACCAAGATTGCATTGCGCTATGTAGCTTTGGTTCAGGAGAAGAAAAAGCAAAATGTAAGTACATTTATCATACATTTACCCAACAACTAAATATTAAGTGCCTACTATATACATTGAACTCACTAGTGAGGGATGCAAAAATTAATGCTAGGTTTCTATCATGAAAGAGTTTATTATTTAATAGTGGAAGTGGACACAGCAATATATACTCTAAAATTGATAAAGTATATTCCTCTTCTGTTTGGGCTTAAAAAAAATTAAAATTAACAAAGTAATACAATAATAATGTCATGTGATTATTCCTGTGGAAGAGATTCACGGATTTACGAAGTCACTTGGTTTGCTAGGATTAGTTCAGGACCAGTGAAGGAAATGTCCATCTCTCCAGCTTCTGCATCCAGTCTGTCATTGTCTGTTTTATCCCAGAATGTCTCTTAAATTATTCTCATCTGTAGTTCATACCTTCATTGTGGCTTCTGACTGTTTTGAATGAACACCCATTTACAATGGTATGTGGTTGGTCCTCCATATTCACAGCTTCTGCACCTGCAGATTCAACCAACTGTGGATCGAAATACCTTTTTAAAAAAATGATAAACTGGCCGGGCGCGGTGGCTCAAGCCTGTAATCCCAGCACTTTGGGAGGCCGAGGCGGGTGGATCACGAGGTCAAGAGATCGAGACCATCCTGGTCAACATGGTGAAACCCTGTCTCTACTAAAAATACAAAAAATTAGCTGGGCATGGTGGTGCGTGCCTGTAATCCCAGCAACTCAGGAGGCTGAGGCAGGAGAATTGCCTGAACCCAGGAGGCAGAGGTTGCGGTGAGCCGAGATTGCGCCATTGCACTCCAGCCTGGGTAACATGAGTGAAACTCCATCTCAAAAAAATAAATAAATAAATAAATAAATAAATAAATAAAATTAAAAAATGATAAACCAAAAAAAAAAAAAAAAAAAAAAAAAAAAAAAAATAAAAAAAAAAAAAACAAAAAAAAAAAAAAAATAGAAATTTGAAAACAATAGTGTAGCAATTTACAGGCATACTTTATTTTATTACATTTTGCACATACTGCATTTTTTTTTTTTTAAACAAATGAAGGTATGTGGGAACCTTGAGTTGAGTAAGTCTGTTGGCACCATTTTTCTAAGTAAGCATATGCTTGCTTCATATTTCTGTGTTACGTTTTGGTACTTCTCACAGTATTTCAACTTCTTTCTTTATTCTACATCTATTATGGTAATTCGTGATCTTTGATCTTTAATGTTACTATTATAGTTGTTTTGGGGAGCCAGGAACCATTCCCATATAAAACAGTAAACATAATTGTGTGTGTTCTGACTACTCCACCAACTGGCTATTACCCCATCTCTCTCCTGCTCCTTGGGCCTTCCTATTCACTGAGATACCACAATATTGAAATTAGGCCAATTAATAATCCTACAATGGCTTCTAAGTAAAAGGAAAAGTCACATGTATTTCACTTTAAATCAAAACTGAGAAATGATTAAACTTAGTGAGGAAGGCATGTCAAAAGCTGAGCTAATCCAAAAGCAAGGCCACTTTTGCCAAGTAGGTAGCCAAGTTGTGAATGCAAAGGAAATACTCTTGAAGGAAATTAAAAGTGCTACTCCAGTAAACACATGAATAAGAAAGTGAAACAGCTTTATTGCTGATAGAAAGTTTGAGTGGTCTGCATAGAAGATCAAACCAGCCACAAGATTCCCTTAAGCCAAAGCCTAATCCAGAGTAAGACCTTAACTCTCTTCAATTCCATGAAGGCTGAGAGAGGTGAGAAAGTTCCAGAAGAAAAGTTTGAAGCTAGCAGAGATTCGTTCATGAGGTTTAAGGAAAGAAGCCTGTCTTCAGAACGTACAGGTTTGGCCTGAAGTAGCTAGTCCTGATGGAGAAGCTGTGGTAAGTTATCTGGAAGCTCTAGCCAAGATCATTGATGAAGGTGACCACTCTGAACGACAGATTTTCAATGTAGACTAAAGAACCTTATCTTGGAAGAAGATGCCGTCTAGGACTTTGAAAGCTGGAGAGAAGAAGTCAGTGCTTGGCTTCAAAGGATAGGCTGACTCTCTTGGTAAGAGGTAATACAATCAGTGGCTCAGTTGAAGCCATTACTCATTTCCCATTTTGAAAATCCTAGGGCTGTTAAGAATTATGCTTAGTCTACTCTGCCTGTCCTCTGTCAGTGGAACAACAAAGACTATGTCAGCACATCTCTTTACAGGATGGTTTACCAAGTATTTTAAGCTCACCATTGAGACCTCCTGCTCAGAAAAAAAAAGATTCCTTTTATTTTTATATTTTATTTTCATTTTATAATTTTTAATTTTAAACCCTGGCCCTGCTAAACAGACCCCTTTTAAAATATTTTTAGCTAGTCACCCAAGAGCTCTGATGGTGATGTAGAAAGAAATTAATGTTTTCACAACATCCATTCTGCAGCAACAAATCAAGGAGTAGTTTGAACTCTTATTATTTAAGAAACAAAATCCACAGAACATTTGTGGTGCTAGGGCAGAGTTGGTCACAATGTCTTACCACAGCAATTTCTAACATTCACGTTGGGCCTGTATAAATGTGACTCCTTTTAATTCCTTCAGCTTTGTATTATGTTGATTTTCTGTACAGCAGTTTTTGAAATTGAAATAGTTTCATTCACATCACTCTTGTTTCCTTAGTCTTTGGAGAATAACAGGTTGGTCTAATTTTTTTTTTTTGAGACGGAGTTTCATTCTTGTTGACCAGGCTGGAGCGCAATGGCGTGATCTTGGCTCACTGCACCCTCTGACTCCCCAGTTCCAGCACTTCTCCTGCCTCAGCCTTCTGAGTAGCTGGGATTACGGGTGCCTGCCACCACACTAGTTTTTTGTATTTTTAGTAGAGACAGGGTTTCACCATGTTGACCAGGCTGGCCTCAAACTCCTGACCTCAAAGTGATCACCCGCCTTGGCCTCCCAAAGTGCTGGGATTACAGGCTCACTTGGCCTGATCTAAAATGTTTAAAAGTTGATAGGCTAAAAGAAAAAAATAAATAGCTAAAATAAGCTACCAGGGCCAGTCAAGAATGGCTTAGTATTATTCATTTTCTTTGAACATTTTACTTAAGTGCTTTATTAGAGCTTCTAGTTCATGGTTACCAACATGTATATCAATTTCTTTACAGGCTTTGTTTTTATTTGTATAAGGGATACAGTGCAGCTTTATTACATGGATTTATTACATAGCGGTGATGTCTGGGCTTTTAGTGTAAACATTAGCTGAATGATTTACATTATATCTTATTTATAGGCTTTAGATTCAAGCTCTTTTTTTGTTTTTTGTTTTTTTTTTTTGAGACAGAGCCTTGCTCTGTCACCAAGGCTGGAGTGTAGTGGTGCGATCTCGGCTCACTGCAACCTCCACCTCCTAGGTTCAAGCAATTCTTCTGCCTCAGCCTCCCGAATAGCTGGGACTACAGGCGCCTGCCACCACGCCCGGCTAATTTTTTTGTTTTTAGTAGAAATGGGATTTCACCATATTGTTCTTTGCATTGTAGATTAGCATAATCATCTCTAATTGGGAAAAGGAGTCCACTAAAAGTAACTTTAAATCTACTTTGTAATCAGAGAACAACTTCATGAGGCCTACTGCTAAACCAAATAGTTCACCTGTCTTTTGCACCTTGTAGCTTATAGTTTTCTACAATGATACAGGCATTATTATCCCTCCAGAAAATACTGTACACCTTGTCTTTGATGAAGTTCTAGAAGCTGGAGAGTAAAAAGTTTCACTGCATCTGAATGATCAAGGGTTAAGGCTTTCTTTAAGCCAAGGAAATATACATAATAGGCACAATTGATGACGGATGGAATTTCATAGATGCTGTGTGCCACAAGAAGCCATGTTGGAGCTTGAGTTGTCTTCGATATTGATGAGTAAATTGGCATTATGCCACATTTTTGTCACCTCAGTGATAATCTATAGCTTGTCTTCTGGAACTTTCAGCCAGTGATTAAATTGCCTGCGAAAGTTTGGTTCATATCTGTTTACCTGGTAACTGAAATATGTACTTAAAGATTTCTAGAATTCTTTGGACTGTTTCTTGAGTCTTTATTGTTTTTAAATTTCAGACGAATAATTCAACAATGATAGCATGAAATTCACTCTGCTGGTCCTGGAATAGCAGAACCAGCATCAGCTTACTTCTTTATAGTTCAGACCAAGGCTACATGAATACCTACACGAATCCCTCCCTTTACTTCATGACAGAACTCTCCCCTACTCAGCCACTAGCAACACCACATTTACTTGGTGCAAGAAAATGTGCCATCCCAGTCACACTCAAGAAACACATTTCTTAAAGGCTATAGCTGTTACAGTGATTTCTCTGATGGAGCTGGGCAAAGTAAATTGAAAACCTTCCGGAAAGGATTCACCATTCTAGATGCCGTTAACAACATTCGTGATTTGTGGAAGGATTTTTTTTTTTTTTTTTGAGACAGAGTTTTGCCCTTGTTGCCCAGGCTGGAGTGCAATGGGGTGATCTGGGCTCATTGCAACCTCCACCTTCTAGGTTTGAGCGATTCTCTTGCCTCAGCCTACCAAGTAGCTGGGATTACATGCATGCACCACCAAGCCTGGCTAATTTTTTGTATTTTTGGTAGAGACAGGGTTTCACCATGTTGGTCAGGCTGGTGTTGAACTCCTGACCTCAGGTGATCCAACCTCCCAAAGTGCTGGGAATACAGGCATGAGCCACCCCACCCAGCCAAGATACCAGTATTAACAGGAGTTTGGAAGAAGTTGATTCCATCCCTCATAGATGACTTTGGAGGGGTCCAAGTCTTCAGTGGAAGCAGTAACTGCAGATGTGATGTAAATATCAAGAGAACTAGAATTAAAAGTGGATCCTGAAGATATTTTCTCACAAGACCAAGAAGATTGTCAGATGAGGAGCTCCTTCTTATAAATGAGCAAAGAAAGTGTTTTGTTGAGATAGAATCTATTTCTTGTATAGATGCTGACTCCTTAAGAAGATGTTGAAATGACAACAAAGGATTTAGAATATTTTATAAACTTAGTGTTGGAAGCAGCAACAGGATTTTTGAATTGCCTTCAATTTTGAAAGAAGTTCTGCCGTGGGTAAATGCTATAAAACCTCATTGCATGCTATAGAGAAGTCTTTTGTGAAAGGAAGAGTCATTTGATGCAGCAGACTTCATTATGTTATTTTCAGAAATTTCCACAGCCACCCCAGCTCTCTCCAATCACCACCCTGATCAGGGAGCAGCTATCAACATGGAGGCAACACCTTCCACCAGTGTAAAGATTATACCTTGCTGAAGGCTTAGGTGATTATTGGCATTTTTCAGCATAAAGTATTTTTAAATTACAGTATTACAGTATGTACTTTTTTTTTTTTTTTTGAGACAGAGTCTGGCTCTGTCCCCTAGGCTGGAGTGTAGTGGGGCAATCTTGGCTCACCACAACCTTCACCTCCTGTGTTCAAGGGATTCTCCTGCCTCAGCCTCCCGAGTAGCTGGGATTACAGGTGCCTACCACCACGCCCAGCTAATTTTTGTATTTTTTAGTAGAGACAGTTTTGCCATGTTGGCAAGGCTGGTCTTGAACTCGTGACCTCAGGTGATCCGCCTGCCTCAGCCTCCAGAGTGCTAGGATTAAAGGCACGAGCCACCACACCCAGCCTTTACATACATTTTTTTTAGACATAATGCTATTGCACACATATTACACACTTAATAGATGACAGTATAATGTAAAACATAACTTTTTAAAACTGAAACGGGAAGAGAACATGCATAGCCAGGTGTAAGCTGAGAGTTGGGAGCAGGGTGGAGCTAAGTACCTTCTGGGTGTTTTTTATTCTTTCTTTTTATATTGTGGTAAAATATGTATTACATATAAGTAACCTTTTTTAACTTTTTTTAAGTGTTCAGTAAGTACATTCGCATTGTTGTGTGACCATCACTGCCATTCCTCTCTAGTGCTTTTTTTTTTTTTTTTTTTTGTTTTTTTCTTTTTCTTTCTTTTGTTTTTTTTTTTTTTTTTTTGAGATGGAGTATCGCTCTGTCGCCCAGGCTGGAATGCAATGGCACACTCTTAGCTCACTGCAACTTCTGCCTCCGAGGTTCAAGCGATTCTTCAGCCTCAGCCTCCTGAGTAGCTGGGATTACAGGTGTGCACCACCATGCCCAGCTAATCAGGGAGCAGCTATCAACATGGAGGCAAGACCCTCCACCAGTGTAAAGATTATACCTTGCTGAAGGCTTAGGTGATTGTTGGCATTTTTCAGCATATTCATTTCAGTACATTCCAAAGATACTAAAATTTTGGTATTTTTAGTAGAGATGGAGTTTCACCATGTTGGTCAGGCTGATCTCGAACCCCTGACCTCATGATCCGCCCGCCTCAGTCTCCCAAAATGCTGGGATTACAGGCGTGAGCCACTGTGCCTGGCTTTCTAGTGCTTTTTTATCATTTCAAACCGAAACTCTACCAAGGAAATAATAACTCCCCATTTCTCCTCCCCACCCCCGCCACCCAGCCTCTGGTAACCTTATACTTTCTGTCTGTATGAACTTGGCTTTTCTAGGTACCTCATATAAGAGGAATCATACAATATGTGTCCTTTTGTGTCTAACTGATTTCACTTAACATTGTGTCTTCATGGCTCATCCCTGTTACATATCAGAATTTTCTGGCTTTTAAGGTTAAATGACATTCTGTTGTACATATGTATATATTGCCACTTTCTGTTTATCCATTTGTCTATTTAAAGTTTATTTTTTATTTATTTTTTTAAACAGGATTTTGCCCTGTTGCCCAGGCTGGAATGCAGTGGTGCGATCTCGGGTCACTGCAACCTCTGCCTCCTGGGTTCAAGGGATTCTCCTGCCTCAGCCTCCCAAGTAGCTGGGGTCACAGGCATGCACCACCACACCTGGCTAATTTTTGTATTTTCAGTGGAGACGGGGTTTCACCATGTTAGCCAAGCTGGTCTCAAACTGCTATCTCAGGTGATCTGCTTGCCTCTGCCTCCGAAAGTGCTGGGATTACAGGCGTGGGCCACTGGGTCCGGACTCAATATTTTTTTAGTATGAGAAAAAGTCTTATATTTACTTGCATCTTTACCACTTATGTGCTCTTTATTCTTTAGTATAAATTCAGACTTCTATCTGATATTTCCTTTCTGCCTAAATAACTGATCATTCTTATAACACAGGTCTGCTGGTTAAGAATTTTCTCACCTTTCATTTGCCTGAAAGTCTTTATTTTGCCTCCATTTTAAAAAAGTCTATGATAGAATCGTGAATGTTGTTTTTCATTTATTTTTTGGTATTACTAAAACAAACAAGGAATGATGTTAAAACTACAAAAAAAATTACTCATAGTTATAGCACTCAAGTACAAATCTTGTTAATATTGTGGAGGAGATAGAAACATCAAAAGATAGAATTATATTACCAGATATAATAATTGAAATATTTCCTTCCTCCAGAAAGAGTTTAAGTTGGCTTTTATATGTAAACTACTTTTTCCCCTACTAGTAATCGTTTTATATTTTACAGTGGTGCAGTTACACTTAACATTATAACATTTTCCCATGTTCCTATAAACTCTTCTTAGTCATAATCATAATATTTAATAGCTATGTAATAGTCCATTAAGTATATGGTCCCTTCATTAATCTTAAATACAATTGGGCATTTCCATTTTAGATTGGGGATTTTCAAAGGGTTTTTCTTTTTTTAATTCCATCATAAGAAAAGCCATAAATGAGAGCCAGATAATTTACAAGTATATTATCCCTGATCAATCGATTTGATTTATGAGCAGTAATTTATGTTGTAACTCTCTTGTGGGCATTTATTTATTCAGATCTGGTCACAGGGTAATCTTAAAGTATGCTTTTTTAAAGCCTCCAACATATTTTGTATCTCAGAGTTGAGTTTGCATTCCTCTCTTGGTTGCGTCACTTCTGGAAGTTGGGAAAGTGTTGCTGATATCTCCTTAAAAGAGCCAGTTTCTTGTAACATACCGAGTTAACAGTATTTGCAGTGTTTGATACAAGAAGGAAGTTTGGTTGCTTATCTCACTGGTGCTTCTTCATTCATACCATTTCCAACACTCCTCATTTGTTTGTGTAGAACTGAGTTTCTGGTATCATGTATCTTTTGCCTAAAGAATTTGCTTTAACTTTTCTTACAGTGTAGATTTGTTGGCAACAGATTCTCCCAGTTTTTGTCTGGAAAAAGTTTATTTTTTGTACAGTTTTGAAAGTTACCTTTGTAGGTATAGGATTCTTGGTATGGTTTTCTTCATGCTTGCTGTACTTTTGGTTCATTGATTTTGTTGGGTCTGCAGTGAGTTTGTTGGGTCTGCACGTTTGTATCTCTATCAGTTTGGGAAATTTTCAGTCATTTTCTTAGATTTTTTCTGTCCCCTCCTCTCTTTCCTCTCCTTTTGGAGACAGCATCCAAGTTTGGAGGATACATACTTTACCCTTCTGCAGGTTTTCCTCCAGGCCTCTACTAGTTTTTCATGCATGTGTGCAGGTTAATACTCAGCCAAAGGCAATTTGGCAAACATATAGAGCATATTGTGTCAGGATAATGCTACATGAGACTAAAAAAGTAAGTTGCAATCACTTATGGAAGACTTTGAATAGCAGGCTAAGTAATATGAACCTCAGTATGAAGGCCGATATTCATTAGAAGTATTTACATGGGGAGTGAAATTATTGGTGCAGTATAAAAATTAAGATAGCAGCAGCAGGTAATCATGCTTAGCAGCACCAATAATGGGACAGCCTAATTTTAGATACCTGTGTTGCAGTACCGTGTGAAATACAAAACATCATCTATCTAGTATTCTGGTCAAAAGTGTGGGACATTCTACAAAACAACTGGCTTCAGTTCTTTAAAGAAGTGTAATTAAAAACAAAAAGGCAGAGAACTGGTCTAGATTAAGAGGGATGAAAGAGAACAATAATCAAATAAAATTCATGAAGCTGACCCTGGATTTAAAAAATAAAAAACATTTTAAGGCAGTTTAGGAAGATTTATTTGGATTCAGAGTATAGAAGACATATTTTAAGTTTGTTGGATTTTTCAGGTGAGAAAATGATATTTGTGGTTTGTGGGAAACTGTTCTGACTCTTAGGAGATGAATGCTAAGTATTTATGACGTGAAGACTTTCATATGTCAGACAAAAAAATAAGCGTGTGTATGTATATATATATATATATATATATACATATATATATATATATATAATAGGTAAGCAAATGTGACAAAATGTTAACAATTAGTAGAGTATATCATTCTTTTAACTCTCCTGTGGTGCCGGGCGCGGTGGCTCAAGCCTGTAATCCCAGCACTTTGGGAGGCCGAGGCGGGTGGATCACTAGGTCAAAAGATCGAGACCATCCTGGTCAACATGGTGAAACCCCGTCTCTACTAAAAATACAAATA